AGGACATCTAATCATCCATGGACCTTCGACATCACTCATGTGCACAACCAACTCCCATCACTCGGGGCTTCACACACACGACATGCATAGACAAATTAGCAATGGAGATAAAAGCGAGTCCTTCTTGTACACAAAAATTTCAATTAGCTGCCGCCCCCAGGCGCATCCTTCAAAATTCCCCAAGACCACCGACCACCATAGCCACAAGGCCCTGCTGCAGCCGACGTCCAATCCCCACCACTGCTCAGTCCTTCCGACTGCTTCGCCCCGAGACTATTGCGGGTCCACCCCACGTCGTCACTCCGCTTGTCCTTGGGCTTGTCGAGCCTGTTCGACGCCGCGGATTCTCGCGCATAGCTCGCGCAACATTGCAGCCGAGATCAAAGATAGAGAGAGGAGAGGGTTGCGCAAATTTATAGCGCGTGAGGCGGCGGGTTGTCAGCGCGAGGTGCGGGCAGCGCAGGTTGTAGATGAGCAGGACATGAGGAAGGTGGGGAGTTAGAGGGTTCGACCCACGGGATGGCATGGTCCGACGTGATTGGGGTGTCCATTCAAGTGGCGCGCGGGTTCCCGCTCTCCACATTGATCCGAGCATCCCAACCACGCGGCCAATCACTTCGCGGGGTAAGGATCGAGCTGGGCGGAGGGGAAGACGAAGAGTCCGACATGGGGAAAATGCGCGCAGCAAGGAGGGAAGATGGCGCGAGGATGCAAAACAAGAAACGGGGATGCGAGACGCACGAAGAAATCGGAGCTTGGGCGCGTGCTCGCAAAAATTCAAAAGTCCCAACTGCACCTGTTTCTTGGTTTTCATACCGCGGCTGCTATTCGCCCGCGGAAGTTATTAACCAAACAAAATGAAAAAGCCATTTCAAAAAGAAAACAAAAGCAAAAAGAAAGAAAACCCCTTTCTATCCGCGCCTGACCTTCGGGGCTTCCGCGGGATGTTTCCTCAGGGATACGGCAAGCCGCGCGGTACGGAGCTGAGCTTATCACAAGCGGCGATCGAAACCGGTCGGGGATCCACTTTTTTCGGATTATTGTTAATGGACTTAATTTTCCTATCATCTCGTTGCCTTGTTGTCATTACATGCATGCATGTTTGTTGATCTCACTGTGTATGCTTTTGCGTTGTTTATCATTAAGATATATTACCGTATGTATGAGCCACTGTACGATTGGGTATGGCATGAAGAGGATGTGGGTACAATACTGTAACAACGCACACTCATTTTGGCTGTACCGGACCGGAAAGATAACTTGTATACATTCATGATCAACGTGAATTATCTTTTGGGGAAGACGGTAGTCAGTAGGATTCAAAGCCTCACCAACTCCAGACGACACCAGCATACATGGTCCACAACAGTATGAGTGAGACTGAATATGAACATCCCAAGAACTGGAGATTGGCGATGTCATTCAAGAATTTGCACAAAATGTAAGGCTTTACTCTCCAGGAGGACATAATGTGCATACAAAGATCACTGTCATGCAAACTGCATGGCAGCATCGCCCTTCTGCCTCGTCCACTCGGGGGGGGTACTCCGATCACCGATCCTTTATATAGTTGTCCCTCAGGCTTGAGCCCTACATTCCGATACTCCTGGTCTTCCCTATCCCCTACCGTGCGTCTTCCTTCCCTTAGTCACTCAGCCATAGGTCCTCTCCGCACGTTTCTAGTACCACACTCGTGGTCGGTCTCCTCGATGATGCATCAACCGCCAGTGCCCCGTTGAACTGGCTTGCTGTCTTCTCCTTATTCGTTTCCGCCTGTGCTCTGTGTTCGGCCGAAGTCGGCTGACAGTTACCGCTTGTGTCGGAGATTCGGTCTTAGGGACTCCCTGTCCCGATCACTTGTCATCTGCTGAAAAAAACAGTTTCTGTCCTTTTGGGCCTTATTTTCAGGAGCCGTGAAATTTTGAGCTTATTTTTAGGCTACACCAAGCTTATTTATTTATTTATTATTTGGCAATTAATTTATCCGCTGCTGAAGCTAGCGCAGCCCCTGGCCATGATTGGTCTCAGTCAGTATTTGTTGGGAATCCTGTTCAGTTGGCGAATGAAGGGAGTTTGAGGTGGGGACAACTGACGAGCGAGATCCTGTTCGCCGCCTCATAAGCAATTGGAACCGATCAGGGGTTTTTATCCCCTGGTTTTAGATATGGAGCCTTGACTGGAGGAAGATGTCACCATGAGAGTCGCGACATGAGGAACGTTGGAGCTGATAGGTGCCGGTTCCAGGTGCTGAGCAGATTGTTTGATCAAGCTTTCTCCTGACTGCTGGTGTACTTGTGCCGATGGATGGGCTTCCTACCACGGTGATAATTTTCTTCAATCTACAGTTTTGATGGCTAATTAGTATTAAAGCTCCGCTGGTTTACTAGGTGATTCGTGGCTGTTTTGAGGAGCCCTTTTTCTCTACTGGTTATTTGTTTGGTTAGGGCTTCGTTTTCATTCGGTGCATACATGGTTGGGGTTTGGTTGGGTGCATGTATGATTGGAGTTTGAACTTTGTTGGGCATTTGTGTTAATGATAACAAGTGAGAGAGAGAGAGAGAGAGAGAGAGAGAGAGAGAGAGAGAGAGAGAGAGAGAGAGAGAGAGAGAGAGAGAGAGAGGTAATCAGTGTGGTGCCGGAGGCGAAAAGCGGCAATCGCCTGATGATTGGTGATGATTTTTTAGCAAAACCGGTATTTTTTGCGTCATCAACAGTGCGTAGGTGCCCCTTCTCCTTTGGAATAATGGGACATTCAATCTCTGTGGATTACCACTGATTGATTGTTAAGAGACAACCACTTTCCTCCTTTGAACTTTAGGTAAAGGGCAAGATGCGATGGCGCGAACAAGGCTCTTCGCAATTTTGCGACCGTTGATCATGATGAGCATGGGATGCGATTGGATTTCCTTCTTGTGGACGGCTTTTTCGTGATCTTATCAGATTGTCGGGATGTTGATGTCTCTTCGCTCGTAATCCTGCACACTTATCTCTCGATTGCTGCTTTCTTTTGCTTGATTGGGGAGAATAACGGATGTGAGAATAGTGGATGTGTATGTTGTAAGGTGGAGCTCAGACTCTTGATTTTTATTTCCTGTAGTGGACAACGTCCTCTGTAGATAGATAGATCAAATATGAAGTTTTGCATAATATATTATAGTGTTAGACTCCAATCGTGTCCGTTTCCCGTTTGTTAGCTCTAGTTATCGCGGTTGGTGTAGGTTTGTGTTGTTTTGCTCAGGGTATGTTTGTCTGTTTGTTCGGTTTTCCCTTTTTGCCTGCTTGTCTCGCTCCAGTTGTTCTGTCAATTAGTTGGGCTGTCTCTGTTGGTCTGCTGCTTCGACGAGAGACTGGGTTGACAAACCGGGGACTTTGCAATTGCGTTTTATTGTTTTCTTTCCTTTGTCCATTTCCTTTTTTTTAGTTTTGAGTCTAGAAACCTACCAACATCGATCACAGTCTGTAGTGCTTTGTGGTGATGGTGAACACGTCGATGTCGACGACAGGAATCGCGTCTCAGATTTTGCGAGTTGATCATTATCGTCCTCAGCAGGTGGCGTCTTCTTCGACTTCCATGTCATCGCAGTCGTCTTCGAATGCCACGTCATCCTCGAATGCCAGGTCATCAGAGTCGTCGACCTTCTCCGAAAGCGGTGGCGCTCCGATGATGGTTGCTGCGTATGGAGAAGGGGAAATGCTGCATGCACTCGGGCGAGGAGGTGTGAAGGGGTCTGGACCGGGACCGGGATGGCGAGAAGATGTGAGTGTCGTCAGACTGATCGGTGAACGTGGCGGTGGTAGTGGGGCATCGTCCGCGTCCGCGGGAGTGGGGCAGGCGCAGGTTGATGGACCGCCTGTCTTACGAGATTTGGACCTGCGGGAGAAATCGATCGCAGAGGGAATGGCAGCTGTTATCTCTGCGTTGGTGGTTAATCCGCTGGATGTTGCTAAGGTTGGAAACACGTGAGCGCGAAGTGGCAGCTGGGTATGACATGGGCAGTTTTGGCGTGACGGCGCCTTGGTGATGGGGTAGTGATGAAGTAGAGAATCTAGAGATCGGACAGCGGGAAGGTAGCAGGATGGAGCTTGACTCGGTGTTGCCTGCCTTTTGAAAGCACTTCGGTGCCATCTCCAACTTTGCGCTTCATCCAGTGGTGTTCAACCTTCTTATGGCTTGTGCTCCTTGGTTTGCTTAGTGTTGTGGTAGGCGGTCGATATGACGCGGACGGAAAGGAGGAGCGCGTGCTTACGTGAAGCGGTAGGAGGATTGGAGGCGACATCGAGTGCGTTGATTTTGTTTTTTTGTATACATCTCTGTCATATGCGGCACTCTCGCTGATCACCACCAGCACCAGCATCTGTGTCATCATCATTAGGGTGCTGCTCGTCACCATCATCATCAACAGGGCGTGATTTGACATCATCATCACTGTAATGCTTTGTCATCATCATCAGGGCGCTGCTCGTCATCACCATCATTAGCATCAGGGTACTGCTCGTCATCATCATCAAGGCGTATGCCTTCACTCCTATCCAACGCTAATATCATCGCTATTATCAAGGAGTCGTGCATCCGGGGGCGCTGCTCGTCCCTCACTGTTGTATCACCATCGTCAAATATCTCTCCATCATACGGCACGGTTGGCAAAGCTTGACATCATCATAGGGCGTTGCTCATCATCATCATCATCATCATCATCATCATCATCATCATCATCATCTTTAGGTTATCATCCAAGGTGTTCGTCATCACACCATCATCATCTTGTAGTCATCATAGGGTGCTGTGCGTCATCATCTTCATCATCATCATCATCATCATCATCATAATTACTGACATCACCATCAACATCATCATATTATGATCATTATCATCAGTGTGTCATCAATATCATTAACATCATCATCATCTTCATCATCATCATCATCATTATGGACATCACCATCATCATCGCTATCATCATTATCATTATCATCATCATCATCATCATCAGTTTGTAATCATTGGGCCTGTTGGTGCTGCTCTTTGGTATGATCAGCATCATCATTCCGTTTTCATTCTCATCATCATCATCATCATCATCATCATCAGCTTGTTTTCATTGGATGTTGCTCTGCATCAGCAGGTGAGTTGGTTGTCACCATCATGCTCATTATCATCGTCTTCAGGGTGCTGTCCATCATCATCAACAAAATCCAACAAAATCGAAGTGAATGATATTTTGGTGTGTCATCAATAACTGTAGTCGGCTGGATCGGATTGTTCGCGGAGGGCTGAACGGGGGGAAGAGGGTGGGGGGGAACTCTATCCTGCAGGGGCATCGCAAGGTGGGGGGTGAACGTCTCAAAGAGGGTAGGGGCGGAGTAGGGGGTTGCCTTATTCTGGGGTAGGGATTGCGTGTGGGTCAACATCAGTCCCTGCGGAGGCGGAAACGGGTAAGGGGTGGGGAGGCCTGCTTTAGGTGGGAACTGCGTGCTCCTGGGGAAAGGGGGGGAGAGGATTGGTCCTATATTGGGGCCAAGGGAGAGTGGGTTACTCTCCTCAGTGGAGGCAGTGTAGGGCTGAGGGGGAAGGGATAGGGGGAGGGAGGGGCGATCTCTCTCGAAGAAATCTATCATCCAGTTTACTATAGCTTTCCTTTTTGTTGCCTCTCGAGGAGGTCGTAGGAATAAGTGTTATCTGGAAAGCCATCTGTGATCCTGCGAGGGGTGGTTGAAAAGTCGGTGGTCCTCGGAGACTGATGCTGGAGCAACGCTGGCCGGAGTCGGAGCCAGGTGGCGCAACTCTGTGACCTAGCTTAGTGGGGGCGTGAGGCCTGGTAGAGAGCTCTGGGGGGCTGTTTGCGGGGGCAGTCCCAGTGGTCATCGGGGGTCGTAACTGGAGCAATGCTGGCCCGTGCTGGAGCGAGGTGGTGCAACTCTGTAACCTAACCTGATGGGAGCATGAGGCCTGGAAGAGCTTCGGTTCGTGCTGAAATTAGCCATGCTGGTGGTGGTCGTAGGTGAATTGAATAGGTTTCACCTATCTGATTTGTGATGGGGAGGCTTTTTGACACACATATTCTATTGACTTGGTAGAGTCTGAAAAAAAAAAAGTCGGTTGTTCTTATAAATGTCTTAGGACTTTAGGGTTTCTTAGCAATCCATCTTAGGCAGTTTCGATGCTGTTATACTCAGTGATCTGTGGCCGTTCGATGCCAGAACGACGCTGGCCGGTGATGGGGTGTTGCCCTGTAACCTGCTGATGCAGGGAGCGTGAGGCCTGGTAGAGAGATCTGGGGATGCTTTGGGGTGGGCATCCCAAGGGATGACCAAGGGTTGCTGCTGGGATGAAGCTGGTCGGAGCTGGGGCGAGTTGTGTTGCCCTGTAACCCAGCAGCGTGGGGGCGTGAGGCCTGGAAGAGCTCAGCAGGGAGTAGGACGGTGTTGGGAAGTCTTGGAAGGGTTTGTCAGGGAACTTGAGGGTAGTGAGCATTTGTAGGACCTTTGTGGCAGGTTATTGCATGAGTAATTCCCTAATAGGTCATTAGATACTCAGGATCCTCCCCATGTTTCTGAATCTCATCGTGTTCAAAGATTGTTCTCAGCCGAAGCCGGGTAATGGCCCCGGCATTTAAAATGACCACAAACGACCTCAACTGTTCTCCACGACCTGTGTAATTCGATATGGCACGCTGGGGCCAGTTCCCAGCACGTGCTGCTCCCCAAGAATAGACTGGAGCACTGGTTCTTTCAAAAAAAAAAAAAAAAAAAAAAAAAAAAGAAAGTATTGAGCCTCTCTGATTGTTTAGGTTATACAGCTTTGAATATTGTGTACGATCTATGATTGGGTGTTTGTGTTAATAATAGCTAGTTTAATTAGGATTTCCTCTCTAATTAGTATACTTAGGGTTTTGTTAGCTGTTTCCTTTTTTGGGCTTGTTGGGCTGTTTTCAAATACTGTGGCTAGGGCTTTGCTTGGCCGGAGAGCCTTGCTCAGCTCGACAGCTGCGGCACTCTTGTGAGGGACGCTGGGCCCGGTTCCCAGCTTATAATAAATTGTTTCTTTCTTAAAAAAAAAAAAGCAAAAAAAAAAAGAATAGAATTCTTGCAGATGCTTTTTTGTTTAATTTATTTCTTTGAATGGCAACCACCGCTCGCCTCGGGATCTTTGTTGGATAGCCTAACTGCCGTGCTTCAATAAAGAACCATTTTATCACGTCAACCGTGTCCGCCTGTCTTGTGCAGTTTGTGAGAATGCGGTGCAGTGTCCCAAGTATTGTGACTTCTTTTGCTTTCAGAGGACCGAAACTCTTAAAATGCTTAATCGTGTGAAATCGACCAAAAAACCCCTCTCGGAGTGTTTCCTGATTTTTTAAACGATGTAAGCACTTCAAGAGGGGTCCTTTTTCTTGTTTGTTGATATGAGTCTCCAAGTACTTTATCTTTGTATCTGCAATCTGTGAAGTTGCTTCCAATTTTAATGAGCTGTGATAGCAGTTGCTAGACTGCTGTATGTAATCAGTGGCAGTCTGTTTATTCTCCCTGCTGCAGATAGCTGTGATGAATATCCTACAAACTGGAGACATGATGAATCACATGGCACCCAGGTTGGGTCAGAAGGGCTGTCTCCGGTAAGACCTTGGTTAGGGTAGAACCAGTAGACACTGCCTAGGGAAGGCTCTAAGGAATATTCGCTGTCTGACCAACCCGGGCTGGTGGTCATAGGAAAAAGCGAAGTGTATAGAACGATCATGCTTGGCGACTGAAGTCCCTGTGCGACACGGCTTGCTCGATAGTGCTTCAACTAGGGCTGGGAGAGGTTTGTCCTGGCCTAGCGCTGGTGTCTGCAACTGCTGTACGGTATATCCGAGGTAGGGCCAACAAGTGCCCCTGTAGATGGGGAAGCAGAGGTCAAGTTAAGGGAGCAGAAAGATGAGGTAGGTACGGGTGGGTCCTGTGAGCACCCAAAAGAAAAAGAAAAAGAAAAAGAAAAAAAAAAGAAAAAGATTCACACTGTCTATGAGTGCTGGTGATATGGCTACTAGCTTTCTTGTTGTGTATAAATAGCAGAAGCCATACCTTGGCCCCCATTGTGAGCACCTGGGCCAGCACCCCTCATAGCACAATTATTGGGGTGTTCTGTATAGTATGAGGGGTGCTAGCCCGCATTGCCAGTTGTAGAGCTGTGCTTTTTCCGTTTTTCTTTTTGTTACTCCCGGATATGCTAAGTCATTATCGAATTAAAAATAAGAAAGAAAAAGATCAAAGAAAAGTAGTTATCAAATTGCTACCGTCTTCCCGCGGCGTGAACATAACGCACCCTGAAAATGAAGGTATACAAGCTATCTTTTGGGCTCGGTACAGCCATAATCGGGTTGCGTTGTGTTCGGTGGAAGACCGTAGGCTCCAATTTTCCGGAGGCAATCTGGTCTCATCTCAAACTGGTGGTGGACCATGTCAATACCAATACAATGTGCCACGTTATTGGTATGGGGGAAAAAGCCTCCCCTTCGACCCAATGGAGTGGGAATGGCAGGGGAGCAAGCCAGTCCAGGTGTTGCATTATACGGTTAAACCACCAGTACCTGGCCCAGCTATCGAGTCCGAGCCTCGGCCGACCGGTACGCTGATCCGTGCCGAGGCTCGGACTACCGGGCGCAGGCACCCCGAACGT